TCTATCACAGGATGTTTGTGATACTAAAGAGACCACCCGATGACCTTCTCTGATACAGTACTGCAGTCAATAATGTTGTACATCTACAGCAAGTGTTGCCACATTTACTGATGTTCTGTGACTATTTGTTGAATTATCATTATTAATTTTTTTATTATTCTGTATTGCATGAAACATATGAGTCTTGTATATTATAAAAATAGTTTTTATCAGTTTCTGGTCAGTAAATACAACCAATTTCCAGAATTTTTTAAATAAAATAGAAATAAAGATTTATTTGTGTTTTCTTTCGCTTGAGATAATGATATTTTTCACCAATATGTCTTTTACACGTTAATGGATCAGTAGAGTTGATACGTAAAGTGCGGCAGCTGAGACCCAGAGAGTAGGAGCCACTGTAACCTTACAACTGTAAATATAATAAATAATTTGAGTTGAGAAGAATACAAAAAAGAGTAACTGTGACCCTATAGTAATACAGGAAGGATGTACCAGACAACAAAAGTAAAAGTTAAAGTAGAAGAAAAGACCAGCAAGCAATGTACCGTATTACATTATCTTCAGTAACAATATAAACTGCAGCTGATATACAATGTTCACGACAATAACATTATACTTAATTAGGAGCAGTTGGTAGTATAATCAGTTCACTACTGTACATAAACAGTGTAAATAATAAACGGAAGCTGGCAGTATATAAAGATGCCTCAGTCTTGCCATGGATGAGTCATCCTCTCTCTCTTATCCATATAAAGTTATTGTGTCGTTGTGAGATTTTTCTCCTTCGATTCATAATCTATTGTTTTAAATAATTAGTTTACTATCAATTTCCACAATTAAAAACATGGGAGAAATCACCACGAATATTATGAGTCACCCGACGCGCGATTAGCCGGGCCAGAACAGAGACGGACATCCTTTCTTTCCACGTATGAAAGCTTTTGGTAACTTACGGCGGTGAATACCCTTTTCACGTATATGTATCCTCTATATTTATATAAAAAACGAATTAGCTCTCTATAAAAAGCTGAAGGAGACGAAATATAATCACATTTTGTAGATCCTCCGAACAGTGTAGTTGTCTGAGGTCCTTGAGCAACATACAAAATGTTTCCTGTAGGACAAGAAACTTACGAGAAAGTACAAACGACACAGTCTTCATGTGGGGGATATTTCAAGTGTTACCCGACCAGTGACGATATTTTGGATGCCTTTGATGTCTCCATGTTTGGCGGGGAACACTGTGGATCACCTGTCAACAGTACAGACTATTCACCACTCACTGACACCTATCAACCATATGGAGGAAACACTGACCAGGTAACTAACACTCAAGACTTTGGCAACAACTACAACAAGATGTGGACAACAGGAGGAGCTACAAGTAGTTTAGATTTCTGCAGGTCAAATCTTACCAACTCCTATCCATCGCAGGCAACTGCAAGTCAAGATCAGCCCATGTTTCCCTGGCCGAGTGATGCTTGTCACTCAGCAGTTGGTGAACAGATGGCGTCACTCACTGGACGGAAGGTGAAAGTATATGAATGGCCACCCCAGAGTGACCCCGAACTGGAGAAGAAGAGAAAACGAGCGATAAAGGCCTTCAAAAACCGGATGAAAGACAGCCAGCAGGAGGAAGAGCAGTACATGAAGCTGGACACCCTCACCCAGGAGGTGTCACACCTCCAGAGGGAGAAGAATGCTCGGGAACAGACCGTAGCAGCCATGCAAGCCTACATCAATCACCTGGCGGCTTCATCCGCTCCCCAATACAATTGTAAGTCTTGACATTCTTCCCAATGTATTCCCTCTAACTCACTAGGAGATATTTATGTATTTTTCCCAACACTGATATCTTCTTCTCAAACGCTTGTTAAGTATTGATATATATAATTAATGACTGTCCAGCTTATGATATTCTTTGTATAAAGTATATTAACAACATGTTTTTCTTGGCACAGGTGACCCCTGGTGATAGATCAAGATGGACATCCTCATGTGGGTTATTGACGAAGGTAATCACTCGTGGATGTTGGTGAACCACATCATCACTTACCAAGATCATGTGACCTGATACTGTATGTGCTGGATCATGTGACCTTATACTGTATGTGATGAAACATGTGATCTGCTACTCTATGTGCTGGATCATGTGACCTGATACTGCATGTGCTGGATCATGTGGCCTGATACTGTATGTTATGAATCACATATCCTCAGCCAACATATTTTGGATCAAGTGACATTCATTATCTGTACTTCACGATATCTCATTCTATATGCGGTGGATGAAGAGGCCAGACACTACGTTTGACGGTACTTGTGTACAGTCTTGGTGGGACAAATGATGAACTACAGAGATGTCCAGGAACTTCTGAAAAATATCACCATACGTCCATCGCAGCACTTGTTATTGGCCCAAGAAGTGAACCGTACGAACATTTTTCCACCTGTTAATAGTTCAGACGTATTAATGAGCTGTTGTATGTGTATAAGTGCATGCACACCAAACATGAGACACGTGTTAGTAAATACTATGTTGCAACACTGCGTTTAATGAGTATGTGTTGTGTTCGAATGTTTAACGAAGCTACAGGGTGTGTGTGTTTGTTTGTGTAGATGGATTAAGACACTTTACGTAAATAAATACATTAAAATAACTGAAGTTTATTTCTTACTAATGCTCCTGAAGACAAGAAGAATTAGTACTCCTAATTATATTTAGGTTGATCTCCAGCCAGAGGCATATCCATCATTACATCTCACGGATCGTCCAAACTACGAAAGATATTCTTGGATCCATCACTGGTGGTAGCAAATAACTGATAATCGCTCCACATTACTAAAAAAAGATTAAAATAACATGGTGGGAAGGTATGCATGAACAGATGGGTTTCCTGACAAACCTTATGTCACCTTTAGAATATATTTTTACCCACAAGTTTCCTTCAAATGTCAACTTGCTAAAATGTTCCATTCCCACATGTCTACTTGACCCTCTGATGCTACGAACATGCTTTACTGAACTCAATTGTCTGGATAAGAAGCAAACATGCTGATGAAATATTTTGTTTTACGTATAATGCTTTATGTCTCGTATATACTGAAGTCTTGTCACAGTATAGCGATAATAATTTTTTTTCTGTTATGTCTGTTGCCCTTAGAGTGATATTCAGCTGAGAAACAATATTTACCACAATATCTAATAAATTAATGGAAGTTTATACCGAAAAAGGGATAATTTTTTGTTCCTATTCCCTTAAATCAAAGGAATTTAAATACCGTATGGTAAAATTTACGGTCTTTTATTTAAATGATGTGAAAATTCCGAATAGACTCCCGCCTGCCCCCCTTGGCACTTGAACGGCACCAGGGGCGTCACCAAGCTGGGTGGGCAGCAAGGTGGGAGTAATAGTCTAGGCCTCGGTAGTCGGTCTACATATTGGGATTTACGTTGGGGCATAAGAGATCGTACATGAGTGCAGACATTGTTTCACTGACCATAGACACTTGATCGCCTCGTCAAGCTTGAACAGAATTGTGTGAATTATTATTGTTCCTTCTTCATGAATTATATTGGTGACTAATTCCATCTCTGCTGGGCCACAGGTAGATCATTGAGGGGACTACAGTCGAGTACAACACTGCCTCTCGTGATCGCTTTACTTCAAGTCAGACCTGTATTTTTCACTTTAGTCTTACTTTAATTCACTCGCATTGTATACTGTATACATTTTAGCACAGAATAAAACGGGTTAGCCTTCTTAGTGTGTACTTAACCATTTTTACTGTGTATTTTCTGAAGTTCAGTCCCAGTGGTATATTTCCCATGTAAATTTATGCTACAATTTAACCTAACGCGGGCAGTGGCGGTCAGTGTAGCAAAGTTATGTACCAGACATCATGAATGGAAAAAATTTTTTTACCAGAACACATTTTTTCATAACGAGAGAATTGAGTTTAGGTAAAATATGTTCTTAGCTGCAGTGGGTCAAATGTACTGCACATATGGTAGGGGTATGTTAGCAGGTTGACATCTGAAGCAAATTCAGAGAGGATTTTTGTTTTTCTTCTGAAATAGGAGTTGTGGATGGATTCAGTTAGATAATGTAAATCTCAAGGATGTTCTTAATATAATGACAGTTCTAAGAAATCAAATACAATCATTAAGAAAACGAAGCTGAATGTTAACATTATTTGTGTGATAAAGGTACATTATACAGTGCAGTATATAAATGTAATTTGCAGGAGAAATGTTCTTCATGTGTGGTAAAGAACAGCGAGTGTCTTGAGTGTACACCTGCGAGGCAAGAGAACCGCCATCCTGCTGAGCCCTCTATACACCTCCCCTCCTCACGCCATCTTTTCCGAAAAATAATATTGTGCCGATAAATAATTATTGGCCAATACCAGTGTCGGGTGAAATATTATGTTTCGTGGGTGGTAGACCATGTCACTCTGGAGCACACCAGATTTACCACCTCCCGACCAGGACCAATCACAGGGCTCCACATACTATGGTAAAACAGGCCAGTTATACCCTAGACTGACTGATGGCCAGCGTCCTCTTGTGACCATAGTCTTCCCTAAACAAACTGAGGAAACAGTTCATCATAACACCGCTGAAATTTAATCATTGTTCAGCCTCTGGTTTGATCGAGATTAAACATAATACCAGTCCCTCAGAACAGGGACTGAAGGACTAGTTTTTCTTGTCATCAGGAAAATAAATAAGAAATGAACTTTACTTTCTGTAATCTCTTTATTTTGGATAATGTTTATAAATCATCTATATACACTTACACAAACACACACACACACACACACACACACTGTATATTTTCAGCCTTCTGGCTGCCAAGCTCTTTCAATAAACCGTTAATTATTATTATTATTATTATTATTATACACACACACACACACACACACACACACACACACACACACACACACACACATCTTGTACTGCTAGCTTCTTTAAATATTTGAACACAACACCTACTCATTAATCTCCAGTGTTGCATCGTTATGTTCACTAACACGTGTCTGATCTCTTTGTCACCTTATTTAACCCACCATCAGTTGTACACGGACACTCATACACACAATCTCCTTTTAGTTACATTTCTTGGGTCATCAGCAGGTGCTGCGATGGATAATTTTTCATAAGTACCAGGACACGTCTGTACTGCATCATCTATCCTACCAAGGCTGTAGAGAAGTACCAGCCAATACAGTGTCTGGTCACTTGATACCGTGATCTATCAGGGCACTACAAATACTGAATGTCACTTGATCCTGCATATGCAGGATGAGAACACGCCATCCAGAACAAATAGTCTCGTGACATATGATTCAGCACTTATAGTATCAGGTCACAACTCATGAACTTATAGTATCAGGTCGCCAGAATCGTCACATAGAGTCTCAGGTCACATGAACCAGCACACAGTATCAGGTCACATGACCCAGCACATACAGTATCAGGTCACATGATCCAACACACACAGTATGAGGTCAGATGATCCACCACATACAGTATCAGGTCACATGATCCACCACATACAGTATCAGGTCACATGATCCAACACACACAGTATGAGGTCAGATGATCCACCACATACAGTATCAGGTCACATGATCCACCACATACAGTATCAGGTCACATGATCCACCACATACAGTATCAGGTCACATGATCCAGCACATACAGTATGAGGTCAGATGATCCACCACATACAGTATCAGGTCACATGATCCGCACATACAGTATGAGGTCACATGATCCAGCACATACAGTATCAGGTCAGATGATCTTGGCAAGTGATGATGTGGTTCACCAACATCCACGAGTGATTACCTTCGTCAATAACCCACATGAGGATGTCCATCTTGATTTATCACCAGGTGTCACCTGTGCCAAGAGAAACATGTTATTAATATACTTTATGGAAAAAAATCATATGTTGGACTGTATATCAATATTTAACAGACATTTGGGGACGTCATATCAGTGTTGGGGAAAATATATCCATATCTCCTGGTGACTGTGAGGGAATATAGTACATCAAATCCTACCAGAATCTTAGGAAGGATATACCAAGACTTACCATTGTATTGGGGAGCGGATGAAGCCGCCAGGTGATTGATGTAGGCTTGCATGGCTGCTACGGTCTGTTGGTGTGTGTTCTTCTTCTTTTGGAGGTGTGACACCTCCTGGGTGAGGGTGTCCAGCTTCATGTACTGCTCTACCTCCTGCTGGCTGTCTCTCATCCGGTTTTTGAAGGACTTTATCGCTCGTTTTCTCTTCTTCTCCAGTTCGGGGTCACTCTGGGGTGGCCATTCATATACTTTCACCTTCCGCCCAGTGAGTGACGCCATCTGTTCACCAACTGCTGAGTGACAAGCATCACTCGGCCAGGGAAACATGGGCTGATCTTGACTTGCAGTTGCCTGCGATGGATGGGAGTTGGTAAGATTTAATCTGGAGAAATCTAGACTACTTGTAGCTCCTCCTGTTGTCCACAACTTGTTGTAGTTGTTGCCAAAGTCTTGAGTGTTAGTTACCTGGTCAGTGTTTCCTCCATATGGTTGATAGGTGTCAGTGAGTGGTGAATAGTCTGTACTGTTGACAGGTGATCCACAGTGTTCCCCGCCAAACATGGAGACATCAAAGTCATCCAAAATATCGTCACTGGTCGGGTAACACTTGAAATATCCCCCACATGAAGACTGTGTCGTTTGTACTTTCTCGTAAGTTTCTTGTCCTACAGGAAACATTTTGTATGTTGCTCAAGGACCTCAGACAACTACACTGTTCGGAGGATCTACCATTTGTGAGCTGATTTTGTCTCCTCTGTCTTTTTATAGAGAACAAATACGTGTTTATTTTTATAAACAGGATGATTATATGTGACTAAGCTTAGGGTATTCACCGCTGTATGTTACCTTCACACTTACAGTATAGGAATACTTTTCTGGCAGCAGAGGATGTCCGCCACCGTACAGGAGGGACGACCCCGTGTAAGTTGACAGGCATTATGATACGAATTGTGGATCTTCTTCCTAACTGTCACACCTACCTCTGATTTAATAGTAATTATATTGGTAATAAACGTGTATATTTGTTGATCTGGGAAAATTAAAATACTAGAGAGAGACGAACGACCTTGAAAATATGATTTCTTAATGAATGATAATTATTCACTCATAGCGTAAAGCGACCATTTTATTGTTCTGTTGGTCGGTGTTAATTTGTTTATTGAATTTCTGTTGTATTACTAGACATATTACATGGTGAAATTCCCTCATCTGCTTTTTATTATACTGTTGATGTGTTGGGGACGCCACCTGTGGTGGACGTCAATGTGTTTGGGACGTCACCCTTGGTCATCAAACTAACACCAGATGGATAAAAAGTCTGTAGTCTTGTCGTAAAACTAACTGACCAACTTCTTGATTTATCGTATATGATATATCACTTATACGACTTAGTTGTCTCAAGCCTCGTAAGGGAGCTCGCATGTTTTT